ATGATAAAAGTTAATTGTATACAATCACTGTTTATCTATAGGAGGATCATATTATGAATCATATACCTAGTAGCATAATGTTAGAGAATATGGTATGAGTACCAGATGTACCACATATGAACACACTTATTATAATAGAGATTGAGAATAATATATGAATTCCCTATTGATGCGTTAGCATCATCTAGTACACAGATTCCTGCATCGGTACATTGATGTAATGGGAGGATTATCATCCAATCCGACAGAATCATGTTTTTAGGTGAGACCGTTATGGACATCCCTGTTAAACATGAGTTAGACCCAGTAAGCTACACGGAAGCGTGAACCGATATGGATACAAATCGTTTTGGCGAGTTACTATGAAATCAGAGTTGGAATCTATGTAGTCTAATAAATTTTGAGATCTTGTAGAACTTTCTAGTAGGGTGATACCTATGGAAGACAAGTTAATCTACAAAAAGACACAAGAAGATTTCTTAGTGAATAAATCATGAGTGTTCAAGGGAATGTCATTATTTTTCTGATTCTATATATATTGATGACATCCTACTCATTTAGGATGATGTGGAAGTTTTGTCATCAATAAATAGATAGTTGTTCAATTACTTTGAATTGAAGGATCTTCAAGATGTAAGCTATATTCCGAGGATCAAGCTTTTGCAAGATCAAGTTAAAAGGAAAATAGGCTTATCTTAATAATCCTACATTGATAAAGTTTTGACCAGGTTTGGTATACATAACTCAAAGAATCAATTCTTGCTTTATTGATATGGATTGCTCTCTCTGGTAAGTAGTTTTCCAAGACTAGCAGGGGAGATTGAGTAAATGAGACTGAAACTATATGCTTTGGCATATGGAAGTCTCATATATGCCATGGTCTATACCAAATAGGACATCCGCTACATAGTAGGGATAGTTAAAAGATATCAATCCAATTCTGGACTTGATAACTGGTCTGTTGTGAAAAATATCATTAAGTATCTAAGGAGGACCAAGGATATCGTACTCATTTATGGATGTGATGATATGGTTCTAGTCAGGTATGCTAGTTCTGATTTTCAATCAGAAGTAGATACTATGAGGCTCATAACTTAGTGTATATTCATTTAATGGAAGGGAAATCAGTTGGTAGATTGTTAAGCAGATTTCAACTGCTGGCTCAAACCTGCAGGTGGAATATATTGCAGCCTTAAAGGCGGCAAAGGAAACCTATTGGTTTGATCTCACTGATTTAGAGGTTGTGGAGTATACTAGCCTGCCTATTGAGCTATGTTGTGACAATAGTGCAGAAGTAGTCTAAACCAATGACTCAAGGTTCTATAAAGGAACAAGATACACTGAGAGGAAGTATCATGTTCTATATGATATTGTCCGGCAAGAAAATGTACTTGTAATTAGAACATTGCATTGGAACACAACTTTGTTAATCCATTATCAAAGGTGTCATTGATCAATAATTTTGATCATCATCTGGATAACATTGGAGTTAGGTGCAATTTGAATTAGCTATGAGGGCAAGTGGGAGCTGTTGGGATTTATATGCCCTGGCATAGCAAATTCCTGTTTGGATTAAAGTGACATATGTTCCTGAAGTTTCTGAAATATTTATGTTTTATACAATTGGTGAATTCAATGTATTATGTTTCAATTCATTATAGAATTGATAGTGTCCATTTGATTACAAGATATATATATATATATATATATATATATATATATATATATATGTGATGGCAATCAATGCATGATATATAAATAGTAATCATAAATGGTTCATAGTCGGTAATTATGGATGGACTCATAATTAATTAAGATTTGAACTGGATCCGCGTTAGGTTGAGATATATTGCGAGAGTCGTCGTACGCAATTGCTCCCTATCACTGTCATGGCATTTGACTCTTAAGCATGAGAAAAGTATAAACTCTTTTATTAATTAATAATTACTTTGATTTGTTCGGCGGATTCTTCGGGATCCTTAGATCGACACTTTGGGTAGTTATATAATTAATAGTTAAAGGGTTATATTTTCAATATTTGTATCATTGCTACTTGTATTTATTTTGTATTGATTATGGTTGATCACAAAGTAAATTCGAAGGCCTTCGTGTGTTTTTAGACAAAATGATTTATTATATATTTAGTTATTTAAATTATTATTTTTGTCAAACAAATGTTTTATTGTGATCGAGCCAGAAATAATCAAAGGTATCAAAATAAATATATTAATTAAGTAGTCGGATTGATGGCTTTATTTATCCGATAACAAATTATACATAGAGGGGTCAAAGTGCAACATTGACTTAGAGGTTATTTATTATTTAATTGGAGTTCAATTAATTTCTTTTAGTGGAGTAGAAATTAATTTATGAATTAATTGAATTGGGTTCATGGACGGGGCCAATTATTAATTTATTGTAGCCAATAAAATAATAGGCCCAATGGATTCTCGCTCATAGCCCAACTTGATATTGGAATCATATTAGATTTGAGACATGTGAATTAGAGATTGAGAATGATTTGTTGTTTCCTTTTCTTTATTTTTATGTTGCCTATAAATATACATGGTCTATGTATATTTTAGGGGGTGATTTTTAGAAGAAGGAAAAAGGAATTTATTTTCTCTCTCTAGAAAATTAGGGTTTATGTTCTCATCTAATGGAGGCTCCCACAAGCCTAGTTTTCCAAGGTCATTCATGGAGGCTTATGAGTGATTCTTAAAGGCAATAACATTACCAATAAGATGGAGATCCATGGAAAAGGTGTCTAACAAAAGGGATCTACAATAAATGAGAACATTCACTTTAGAAGAGAGATCTAAGATTTACTCAAATCTTGATGTAAGTATTCAATCTTTTAATTGAATGATACATCATGTTTTATTTTTACATAAAACTTGTCTCTATGTGATGAATCAAGATATATGAATTAAAATCCCTCGAAAAGTTTTTAAAACTTGCACGTTTTCCAACAAAAATAACATTGAAGTGTAAAATTTAAATAAACGTGCAAATAAACCACTCTAACTACTTTTTCATCAAAATTGACATAAAGTAAATTTTAAAATCCTAATTTGCCCTTTTCTCATATCACCAAGATCAAATAATATGTTTTCTTTTACATTTTTTTAATTTTTTTTATTTTTACTTTTAGCATGAATCATATTAAATTCAAATATTTATTTATTTAGGTCAAAGATTATATGAATGCTTTACAATTTTTTTGTTAGTATGAAACATATTAAATGTAAATATTTATTTTTATAGGTCACAAATTATATAAAGACTATACAATTTTGCTTTTAGTATGAAGCATATTAAATATAAATATATATTTCGTTAGGTTTGAAATTATATGAATACTATACAAATATAATTTAATATTTTATATAATGCTTTCAAATTATTTCTTTATTCTTCCTAAGAAATTTTTTATTTTTCAATTATAAATATAAAATCATTTACTTTTAATTTTTCAAATATGTTCTTTAGTTTTTTTTTTTTGGTCTATGATCAAACAAAATATTATATATATATATATATATATATATATATATATATATATATATATATTTATAGTATAGCTCTCTTATTTTTCATTAAAAAAAATGGTTTCCATGCTATCTATGATTAATAGGAAAAATAAACATAATTCATTGACAAGAGGGTATTATAGTCTTTTTATGCGAGGAATATTTGCACCAAATTTAGTATAAAAGAATTTTATACCACAAACCTTTTTGCGCTATATCAATAATAAATATATAAATATATATATATATATACTTAACCCAAACATATTACGAAAGAAAGAGAGAGTCTTGTCCCAATTTTTTATGCCAACTTAGCTACCTCCGAACGTTTGTGATATGCTAACAAAATAATTATTACGTTTTACTTGAACATCCTAATATGTTACTCATTGAGAGCAAAACTCAGTATAAATTCTCATCTTATACTTTTTAAAAAGATATATAAATTCTCATCTTCTAGTTTTCATACTAATATTTTATGAGTATATAATTAAAAAAGCTAAATTAATAAGGGTAAATTAGTATTAAAAAAAAAAAAAAAAAAAAAATCCACCCTACTAATACATTAGGTTCGTACCTGTATATATATATTTGCATTTTTCAAATGAATTTTATTTTATTTTTCTCAACAAAGGCATTCACGCATTTTTCAAATGGATAAAAAAATAAAAAGTGAGCATTCTTTGGATTTTGTATTTTATATTGTATTTTCTGAGAAAGTGGTAATTAAACTTGTTATGTCCAATAATGCCACGACGTTGTATCTGTGGTGATGCTTGGTCTTTTGAAAAAAGTTTATCAAAACCTGTTAGCATCATACGTTAATTCTTGAAAAATAAGTTATTAATATGACATGTGTACATATCTTTTATAATATTGAAAGTAAATAAAAAAAAACAATTAATTCATTTTGTTATACGTCAAAATGATTCCAAATTAGTTTTTTTTTTTTAAAAAATAATAATAAAAAAATAAAAATTAAAGCAAGTGACATATTGATAGAATAGAGATTTAAACCTGTGCCTTCGGCCACAAGTACTACATGTCCTACCACCGAATTATCATCACATCTAATAATTTCAAATTAGTTGTCAAAAAAGAAAAATTAAAGCAAGTGACATATTGATAGAATGGAGATTTAACCCGTAACTTCGGCCATAAGTACTATGTGTCCTACCACCGAACTACCACATCACGTCTAATGATTCCAAATTAGTTGTCAAACTTATTTTTAATTAAAAAACAATGTTAGGTAAAGTGACAGTGCCACTATTCTTGTTGTCATAATCAGTGACCGTAAATAAAATATTACAGTTAATAAATATTCATAGTAATAACAAAAATATGTTAGTTAGTGGTCAGTGGGCCGCCATTTTGGACCTGAGCGTTGAACATGGGCCCAATTTTTCTACGAGTAGCCCAAGTCCAAAGTCCACACCAATGGCGGGAAAAACAGACGTCGTGTAACTTTCGTGAGACTTGAGACTTGAGACTCGAGAGCATAAAAACAACCACCGGTACCGGTGGCATGTCAGATCAACACCGAAATGGAGAACGTGTCGCCGTCGCCGGTGCCAAAATTTGGGGTGGCGGTGTTCCTATTGAAAGACAAGACGGTGCTGCTGGGACGGCGGCGCTCCTCCATCGGTCACAACACCTTTGCCCTTCCCGGCGGCCACCTCGAATTTGGTCAGTCCCTAATCTATATGCATATATATACAAGCACGCAAATACACTTATATGCACTCATACCTATAAGCGCACACTATATATATATATACACACACACAAACGTGCGCATAAACATCTACACAGAGCGTTCTATTATATTCTAGGAATCTCAGGGCTTATATATTTGGTATTGTATCTCGATAATACTCTATTTTTCTCAAACAAGAAGAAAAATTGGGGAAAAAAAGCTTCTTCCATTTTTTTTTTTTGAAATTTAAATTGAAAATGGAAAATAATTTGAATGAGCTGAATTTGCACAATGGTGAATAATGAATCGATCATAATTTCATTATGAAACTGAGAAACAGAGAAAGATAATTTTTACCATATAAGTTTAATGAGCCTAAGAAGCTATTGGAAGACTTAAATTATAGCACTCCAAGTGTTCGACGTAATGCTCAAATACCAAGTCCTCAAAAGAGATGAGTTTGCTCTAATATTCCATTAGATGACTGATTTAATGGAAAATTGATTTGAATTCTTAAAACCATTGAAAAATGCTATTTTTGTTTTTCCCTAATTGAAAAATTCTAATAACTCTGAGGCTATCGGACTAGTTTTCAATTAATCTTCTGCATTTTACTTTTGTAACTTAATTTGGCCAATTGGTTAAATTTGCACAATTCCATCAGCCTATAATTTCGGTTTTTATAGCAAAACTCAACATTTAAGTTATATAGTTGTAACAACTTAAATGCTTTTACTAATCATTACTTTACAATTTCCAACTCAACTCAACAAAATCTTGTACTGCCTATTTGAATTCGGTTATACTAATCCCATTTCATCATTCTACTCTAGGTCATAACTTTAAGTAAATCTGTCGTTACATCTATCTCCTTGCTATCTCACTTGTATTGCTTTAATTTCGAAAATCAGTGGGAGACTTAGGCTTCTAATTTTGAATCTTATTTGACAATAAAGATGTCAGCAAAGATATATTGGCAGATGATTTTCAAGTCTCAACCAATGATTCCATTGGAGATAGAAAATGTGGTGGTTGCTCTCATATGGAAGGTTAAGAAAAAATATATGTGTTGATGACCGCGCCACGACAGCTGATTAAGTGACGCCACCTCTGCAATATAGGCACAACTGGCCAGTGCTGACCTGGCGTGCCCATAATGGATTAGGTATTCTCGAGCTACCTATCCGATAACTGAACTCACTAGCTGAGGAAGGGGTCGCTACCCTTCCTCCACTGTGGACGCGCCCCGCTCCAGTCGGATGGGCTCTTCCCCCCCTTGGCTCATTCGAGGACGCTCTCTGAAAGAGCGACCTCGACTAACCTGTTTACACACTTCCCGTCTCGGCAAAGAGGACCTCGGGATAAAATTAGGATAGGATCTTGCGAGGTCATGAAGGCAGGACCTCGAAAGGGACCTATCCCCACTGAAGCACGGGAATCTGAGGACATGTGGATAGGTGGCTGAGATCCAAGGGGACGCCTCAGCCCGAGGCCAACACAATGGGGAAAGGATACTTGGTACCTAAGCTCAAGCAATGAAGGATAAGAAACGCATTAATTGTGAAAGACGTTTGATGAGACCCATATTAATTAAGGAGCGCCATTACCCCCTTTAACCGGGGGGCAAAGCGCCGCGGCCCATTCATCAATGTCTCATCCGTCAGAAGAAGAGACCATCAAGCCTTTGGATAAGAGCGGGCTCAGCTAAAGGACCAAAAGACATTGACCGAGGAGATAAACACTATAAATAGGGGTGTTAATCAGCCTTTAAATAACAATCACCACATTAATATCTATCTTTGGATAAGCTCGAGCTCACATGGTATTGAGGCCGGCCTTCCCTTTCTTAATCTCCTCAGTTAAAGAATCCCTTGTGTTGCTTGGATCTCCATTTGGATACTGATCTCAGATCTCTTGGTTTACGTGGAACGATCTCCTCGTCCTGCTCGCGAACTACCATCAACATTTTGGCGATTTCACTAGGGAGGAGCGCTTCACCTATGTCAAGCATACGAGAGATCAGTCCGCCCTCTCAAACCAGCCCTGCCTTAGGTGAGGGCTATGATAGGTCTGTAAGTATGCCTGGGTCGTACTTCCCCAGAACTAGGATTATCTATCCTGATGCGCTGGTCGAAGCCCATAAAGCACTGTCGCACAGAATGGAGCAGCTTGAAGGCACTCAGAGGGAGGAAGTGACTCTACTGCCGCAGATTGCTGACCAAGGAGCACTGCGGCAAGGCGCAAATCCGAGTGTTACTCTCTATGGTGAACATGCAACCCCAGACAATCCAGCACGACAGACGTTCTCGTCGTCAGCTGAGGCAAGGCGAGCCACTGGTCGACACAGGCGATCGCGGGATACACCGCCGCGGGCTCGCCGAACTCTCTTCAGTACTTCTCTTACGGCGCCTGCAAGGTTGAGTATGCCGAGTACCAGTCGGAGAGAGGCTTGTCACAGAGACACGGGCTCAGAGGGATTTGGACATCAACAGGACTCTGCGCAGCGGTCGCCATATGTAACTATGGCGGACCTGCAAACACTGCTGCGAAACGAAAAAAGTATGTTGATGCAGGAGGTGGCCCCTGAACCACCCTACGCACAATCCATCGCGCTTCTCCCTTACCCCCCAGGGTACTTGATCCCCAAGTTTAGCAAGTTTGATGGAAGGAAAAGGAACCCCTGAGAGCATGTGGTACGGTTCATTGAGGCTCTGGGGCCCTTTGGAAACGATCATACCCTGCGTCTTAGGGAGTTTTCAAAAACTCTCACGGATAGGGCCTACAAGTGGTATGCGAATTTGGAATCCGGGTCGCTCACTACCTGAACCAATTAGCCACGATTTTCCAGTCAAAGTTCTTTCAGGCAGAGGAAATGGTGACTACACTTTCCTTGACTAAAGAGACTCAAGGCCCGGGAGAGGATTTACTTACCTACGTCCATAGATTTCATGACTGAGCCATGGAATGCTATCAAACCCATGAAGAGGAGGCGCTGGCCAAGATTTGCATACAAGGCATGAAGGGGTCTTACCGAATCCATCTCATTAACCTCAAGCTCCTCACTTTCGCCGACTTGATAGAGGCATCCCGGGATTTAGCAAGTAACCTCACTATTTGTGCACAGGCCGCTACACAGGAAGAGTATCGAGGCAGGCGTAGACCTCAAGTTTCGGCTGTGGACGAATCTCCAAATAAGAGGGGCACAAGGCCAGCCCGTATTCCCCGCTCGAAGAATCCGGACGAGGCTCCTCCGCCATTCCCATGCACTCTAGAGGAAGTAGAGACCATTCTTAAGAAATGGATCCAACATGGAGACATCAGGCTGCCCGAGGTGGCCCGCGAGCCCACACTAGAGGAGATAGCTACTCCGAAGTATTGCTTGTATCACTGGCATACTCGTCACCTAACCTATGACTGTTGGGCGTTGCGAAATACTTTCCATAGGCGGATTGCTAGTGGCGAGCTCATTCTTCCCCCCAGGGATGTGAGAGAAGAGCCTTTCCCTGCGCACGATCGAGGTGTAGCGATGATGGTATCGGAAATGGCAATTGGCAAGGAAGGGGCCGAGGAGGATGCCGACCAGGTCGCGCTGGTAGATGAACACGACCTAGATGCGTTTCGTTTATTGGGAACGGCCCGTCAAGAATATTCTCCAAAAGATGGATTTTTCTCCTTTTGCTCAGAAGGAAATAGCGAAGTTTTTGTGGCTAGCGGCGAAGGATGGTGTTAAAGAGGTAGCGTCTATCGCGTTACTCCCTGTATCACAAAAGTCAGCTGGGTCAGCTATAGTCTTTACAGAGGAAGACAAGTGTGTCCCTACTCTGCACAACAGGCCACTGTACGTCACGGCGTCGCTCAACGGGGTCGAGTCGTCCCTCAATATCATGCCTCTGGAAGTCTTTCGCCGCAGCGGTCTCCCAGACGAGAAACTTGTCCGAAGGCCAACTGAAATCGCCGGGTTTGGAAGTGATATCCGGAGAACTGAGGGACACGTGACGGCCAAACTGGCCATTGGGAAGTTTAAAAGTTCGGTGAAATTTCATGTCATTGATTCAAATACCTCTTACCATTTGCTTATGGGTCGAGGTTGGATGCACAAGTTCGGGATCGTACCATCCTCGTATCACCAATGCATGAAGGGGTTCTGGAACGGGAAACAAGTAATGGTCCGTTGCTCTGATCGACCATTTACTAAAAGAGAGTCTCATATGGTGGAGGCTGGATTCTTTAACGAGTTAGAAGATACAGAGGAGCCCCAGCCATTGAGGGCCTTTCCTCTACCGAAATGGGAGGAGATTAACCAACCAAAGAAGGAGAGAATGCCAGGGCTGGCTGCTAACCAAAAGAGGAGTCCAGCTGTCTGCAAAAGGATATGTTTGTCTGACGGGAGGATAGCGTACCGTTTATGATGGTGTTGGGGGGCACGATCTCGGGCAAGACCGCGCCCCCGAGTGGAGTCGTGTTAGGTATAATCCCCGAGCTTGGAGGAGGAAGCCAAAACGGAGTCAGGCGAATCTGCTCGGCTCAGTCAGGATGAAGTAGAGGAAGTCAACTAAGCCAATGATGGCCGCTCCCGGGTAGTCTATGTGTATAAAAAGCTAGAAGGAAATGAGAAAGCGGCATTGGTAGCTCTGCTCAAAGAGTTCGAAGATGTCTTTGCTTGGACAAACGAAGAAATGCCCAGACTAGGCCCTCAAGTAGTGGCTCACCATCTCAATGTGCGACCGGATGCTTGCCCGGTTAAGCAGGCGCAAAGGAGCTTTCGGCCAGAGCTTGAGTTACAAATAAAGGAGGAGGTACAGAAGCTTTTGTGAGCCGGCTTTATCAAACCAATTCAACATCCTACGTGGTTAGCGAATGTGGTTCCGGTGAAGAAGAAAAATGGAAAAATCAGAGTTTGTGTTGATTTTAGAGATCTGAATAAGGCATGTCCTAAAGATGATTTTCCGCTGCCTATAATTGACAACTTGGTAGACTCGACCTCAGGGCA